TAAAAAAAAAGTTAAAAAAAAAAAGTTATAACCGACCTTTTTAACCCCTGGGGAATTAGCCATTTCTGGAAAGAAAATGGCTATGTCCCCACCTCAGGGGGAGAAGAACTGTGCTAAAGCCCCACCCCTGGGCAAACAAATTAGGTCTATATCCCCACCCCCGGGCAATAATATTGACTGTTTAGTACATGTTGATTTGCACCTTGTAATTCTATGCCTATGGCTATGGACAATATAAATGCAAAGAAAAAAAAAAGAAGTTCTACAAGAAGGATAAAAATGCTTTTGTATTAATGCAACACTGTATAAATTCTCAACCCTAACTTCAGCGCATCTAGCTAGACCTACGATAATATTAATGTCAAGGCGTAAAAAAAAATACCTATGGTTCCGGTTCCCGACCGACCCTATTTTTTTATGCTGACCCTATTATTTTTTCAACGCGATTGACCGTGCAACCCTATTTTCTCCGGGTGGTTGCGGGCTGCTGCCAAAATGGTGTCTGTTGTCACACTAATTATTGAAAAAACCATGAAAAAAATATTCAAAAAAAAAATTATTTCCGACCTACCGACCCTAATTTTTTCGTGAATGATATGAAACCAGAACCACAGGTTGTTTTTTTTATGCCCAAATATTGTCTTTAATCAAAGGTCCAGACACACCGGACGTGATTCAACAACGAGACGCGATTTTTCGATTTTCACTGATATTTAGAAGAATTTTCTAAATATTTAGAAGAATTTTTTCTGTGTTGGTGTTGTGTACTCAGGTGAATATGATATTTGTGATGTTACTCTGAGTGTATATCCACACTCAGGCCCATCCCTAGTTCTCTGTATGCAAGTATTACATGTTTTGTTTGCATGCAGTATTATTAAGCCAATCGCAATTTTACTTTACTCGATTTCTGAGTGAGTTGCGGATCAAATTCTGATGCAAAGCCCGATTTCGATTTGATTTGGGCTGAATATTCTGTAATTATGTTATTCTTCTCTAAGGCTATGAAAAAAGACCTTATTTGCAAGTTTTTGCAATACGGCTCTGTACAGTATGTATTAAATGTTTAATTTTGTTTACATTCAGTATTATTAAGCCCATCGCAATTTTACTTTTACTCGATTTCTGAGTGAGTTGCGGATCAAATTCTGATGCAAAGCCCGATTTCGATTTGATTTGGGCTGAATATTCTGTAATTCTGTTATTCTTCTCTAAGACTATGAAAAAAAGATCTTATTTGCAAGCTTTTGCAATCCGGCTCTGTACAGTATGTATTAAATGTTTTGTTTACATTCAGTATTATTAAGCCCATCGCAATTTTACTTTTACTCGATTTCTGAGTGAGTTGCGGATCAAATTCTGATGCAAAGCCCGATTTCGATTTGATTTGGGCTGAATATTCTGTAATTCTGTTATTCTTCTCTAAGACTATGAAAAAAAGATCTTATTTGCAAGCTTTTGCAATCCGGCTCTGTACAGTATGTATTAAATGTTTTGTTTACATTCAGTATTATTAAGCCCATCGCAATTTTACTTTTACTCGATTTCTGAGTGAGTTGCGGATCAAATTCTGATGCAAAGCCCGATTTCGATTTGATTTGGGCTGAATATTCTGTAATTCTGTTATTCTTCTCTAAGACTATGAAAAAAAGATCTTATTTGCAAGCTTTTGCAATCCGGCTCTGTACAGTATGTATTAAATGTTTTGTTTACATTCAGTATTATTAAGCCCATCGCAATTTTACTTTTACTCGATTTCTGAGTGAGTTGCGGATCAAATTCTGATGCAAAGCCCGATTTCGATTTGATTTGGGCTGAATATTCTGTAATTCTGTTATTCTTCTCTAAGACTATGAAAAAAGACCTTATTTGCAAGTTTTTGCAATCTGGCTCTGTAATACTGTATGTAAGTTCTTTGTATGTTTGCATGGCGAAAAATATAATAGTTTTGTTTGTGGAAACACCACATAAATTTATTACTGCAAAGCTTTCGATCCGTAAGCCCGGATCTTCATCAGTGCTAATAATATCACAGAGTAGAGACATACAGAGACGTAACTAGTGTACCCACGTTTTTTGTGCGCATGCTCGGCAAGTTACTAGATGCATGCATCTGATTGGATGAAACCTGATGACGACTCACTTTAAACTTGCTGAGCACGCGCAGTTGATCATTTTTCGCCCGGTCGCCTGAAAAAAAGTGGGTACATGATAACGCAATCTTCCGCAGTGTTTACAACGATCAGTTACGTCTCTGTATGTCTTATCTACTCTGTGATAATATGTGACTTGTTTAATTCACACACTCTTTTTATATACAAAAGTGTCGTGATCTGTTGGCTCGCGTCATTTGAAATTTAATTAAACGGCACATCAACCACGTCATTCCACGTCATTTCAAACGTAGTGAAGTGATCATAGATATAGGAGATCTAGATTGCTAACGCATACCTAGCGCAGGCGGGGCCTACATGATAAATCCAAGATGGCGGTACAACAGGGCAAAAAGACTATAGATATTCTATTACGACTGATCAGGATTTTTGCATTTTTTGCCGTCGCATTGTTTTGAAACTTATTCGGTCAAATTTTATGGTAAAGAGAAACTTACCGCGAAGATTTTGAGCATATATATGATTGAATTGGATGAAAAATCGCAAAATTATCCAGCGATAAAAGTTCGTGTGAAATGGTCAGTTGGTCAGTTGGAGCGTTTTATTGCCAGAAATACTGTGCTATGTTAACATCTAGCCTTGTGAATTGTGTTTTATACTTGCATCTCTCATCATCATCTGCTCTGTCCTCATAATTATGAAAAATGAACTGTTATGTACCTCCCCCCCTCCTTGCTTGTTAGAGAAGTAAACTGATGAGAGCACTGGATGAGGGTTTATCATCTATGGTCTGTTATAATTTGCTTTTTATGCAAATAGTGAGCAAAAATTAAAGCAAAACTGTACAAGTTACATATATAGTATTATATAATACCTTATTAAATTCTAATCGTTTAATTGGCTGTTTATGGTCACGTGATATTGAATAGAAAATTCCATTTCCCAAGAGTGCAATGGAACACGTTCCATTGCACTCTCCGCAATTGCACTCTTTGTGTTTTCGATAAATCGCATCCCTCAAAATGCTTCTCATACGAATGTATTAGTCTGTTCTGGACTTTTGGTATTATATAAAACAAATAATGAATGTTTCTTCGTGCAATGGTAAGAATATTTTCACTCGGTGAAAGATGGAATGTTCCATTCAACGAGGCGACAGCCGAGTTGAATGGAACATTCCATCTTTCACCGAGTGAAAATATTCTTACCATTGCACGAAGAAACATTCATTATTTGTATACTATATCAGTACTATACACGAACTTTTATCATGGATAATTTTGCGATTTTTCATCCAATTCAATCATATATATGCTCAAAATCTTCGCGGTAAGTTTCTCTTTACCATAAAATTTGACCGAATAAGTTTCAAAACAATGCGACGGCAAAAAATGAAAAAATCCCGATTTTCGTAATAGAATCTATAGTCTTTTTGCCCTGTTGTACCGCCATCTTGGATTTATCATGTAGGCCCCGCCTGCGCTAGGTATGCGTTAGCAATCTAGATCTCCTATATCTATGGAAGTGATCATACAACGCGAGCGACTGGGGACGAGTCAGGTGAAGTGATTCCAATTAACGCGCGCGCATCCCATTCTCGTACCCAGAGCCCTTCTTACGCGCGGTCAACGGAGCACGACGAGGGGCTCTGGCAAAATCCATAACCGGATACCATGAAAACATGGTATCCGGTTAAACACTGCGCATGCTCAACGTCAAACGCGGATAAACACTTCGGCTTTCTTGTTTGTTTCGTTTTGAAAGTTTTTCTCCAGAAAAACCCCACAAAAGCGGTAGGTTTCGCTAATTTTATTTATTTAAATCAATTAGTAGGTAAGACGTGATGTTCTCAATGCATGTTGATAAAAATTTAGTATATATTTCCCTCTAAACGTTGCCAAAGCAGTAATGGCTACGGATACGAAGACGAGAGATTGTCTCACTATTTTATATTGATTTTAAGTCGCTGTTGTACAGATTTTTAGACTTTTTTGTGTTTTATTAAAAGTCAACAGTCATACATAAGACATACTATACTGCAAATCATTTGAAAATTGTAAAAAATCGGTTTCTAGGAAGAAAATAGTCATCACAATTAACTTCATATTCTGGCTGACTTTAATATTTTCTCTTCAGATGGCACTTCAGCTTTGAACATGTAACACAGATTTGTTTGATTAACATCACTGATATGGAAATACGACGAGCATCTGCCATAAATATGCTGACTTTTTGCTATGAGAACATCACGTCTCAACCTATTAATTTCAATCAACCAATTGATTTAAATAAATAAAATTAGCGACATCTACCGCTTTTGTGGGCGATTATCAACAACAATCTTCCTAACTGCTTCGTACTAATGTTCTTTCAACTTTAATAATGTCTTTTCTCCCAATTTTCAAAGGGAAACCAACGCTTCGTGGAGCGCTTGTGTATTTTTATTCATATTTACTATAATAAACCATATATTTCGTTGTGGCCAATCAGAAGCCAGTTTGATATGGATTTGGCCAGAGCCCCTCGTCGGGCTCGGTCGAACGCGGATTTTACTACATCCCGGGCGTTCTTTGTCAGTGCCCGCGATCACAATTAGTATTATCAGCGGTATATGATGAAAACATCGAGTGTTTCCTGAAATCACAATGTTTGAAAGAAAACATCTTAAAAGCCAAATATAAATTATATAATACTCGATGTGAATTTATAACTTGATTAAACTGTAACAGTTTGTCAGCATGTTAATCTATATTTCAAGATATCAGTTTGCTTCTAGTCAGTTTATTTGATCCAGACATATTGCCTTTTAATTTTTTGACAAAACTGTTTATGTTTTAGCACTAATTTCACAGATATTATATGAGCTAGTAACATTTATAGCAGCTCAAATAAAAAATAACCAAGTGACTGGACAGACGGGAGTTATTTCGTATTTTGTAGCAACATAAAAACTTTTGTTTGCAGTAATCTTCACCAGGTTTGTCGTTAGCTCAAGCGGTAAAGGCGCTGCGTACCGGAAGTGAAACGCAGTCGGGGTCGGGATCGATGCCGAACATTTATTATCTGATTTAGCTCTTTTTCTCAATTTTTTGTAATTTTTTTCTTCCTTCCTTTTTTAACTCTTAAAAGTTAGGCCGGTTAGTGTTTGGGATCGGTATAAAATCTAAAGTGCTTTAAAAAAGTTTTAATTTTTTTTATTTGGTTGAAAATGTTTGAATATTGAGTTGCGAACTCAACCGCTGGTAATTCTAATTGTGATCGCGGGCACTGACAAAGAACGCCCGGGATGTAGTAAAATCCGTCGAACGCGCGTAAGAAGGGCTCTGGGTACGAGAATGGCGCGCATCCAAGACAAGAGAAATTAATTTTGCACATTAAAGAGAGCACGCCACGTACTATCTAGTGGCTTTCCCTCCTGATCTATAGTATTGTGCTTCTCGATTTCAATTGACTCTCTCATTTTATAATACTGTAATATAATACTGTATGTATTATAAATATTAAATGTTTTGTTTACATGCAGTGCCATGCTGTATGCATCTGCTATTTTTAGCGCGCTTGCCAAAAACCCTGCATTCAGCCATTTCTATATAATTTACTTCATGCATGAAAGATTGAAAAGATTGTGATTTCAATAAGTGTTTAATGTTTTAACAAAATATCAAATATAAAGCCTGTTCAGTTCTAAACGTCGCATTTTACATGCGCCGAATCACGAATGCATTCAAAACAATGGATAAATGATTTCAGCTGATTATCTAATGTTTTGAATGCATTCGGCACATGTAAAATGCGACGTTTAGAACAGGCTAGCTTATACATGGATAGAAATCCAATTCCCAACATTAATACTACGAGTTTTGCCTTTGAACAAAATATCAAATATAATACACGGATAGAAATACAATTCCCAACATTTATAATACTACGAGTTTTGCCTTTGAAATTTCGAAACTATTGCAATGTCAATGCATCCTCGTTCCCAGGGCTTCTCGGCTGCCTGCGTTGCCGTAAGCAGCCGAGAAGCCCTGGGAACGAGGATGATGTCAATGCAGTTTAATTCATTAAAGTGCGGAAACAAGAAAGGTTGACATTTGTTGACATTAGTAATCATTGTTGCATGATAGGTGCCAATCTCGTACCCAGAGCAATGCCTGTGCGCAGGCTAGGATGGCATTGGCTCTGGGGAAATTGAATTTTTCCTGTGTTGTGATTGGTTTAACGTCCAATGCCATCCTTGCCCGCGCACAGGCATTGCTCTGGATACGAGATTGGATAGGTGCTGGCTATCATTGCTCTCAGGCTCGCCCCATGATGCTTAGCATCTCCCTAGTACAAAAAGGGGCATGCATATAAGAACACAAAAAATCTGAGACACTAAGATCGTACGTTTGTCTATTTGTTCTGGTTATAGGACGAAACAAAAAGATACTACTTTACTATTCAAACGAAAAGCCCCAATGGGGAGTGAGCTGAATAATAGTGTAATACAGCTTTTTCAATTTCAACTCGCAAATAAAATTTCCAACAGTATAAACTGTACGAGCTAATTTGGTTTTTGTGGCTAGCCCGTTCGCGGGCTAGACACATTCATATACCTAGAGTGCAATGTTTGTGGGATGAGCACAAAGTGTAACTCCAGTTGTTCATATAGACCTACGTGGGACCCACGGCGCGTGTTTGTAAACAATATATTAGCAAATATCACTGCGAAACTGTTCTTTTAATGCGTTAAAACGTCGCTTTTGAGCCAGAGACTTTTCGGATCTTAAAATTTAAAGGTAAGTAAGCTTTTTTCTTGTGAAATAGCATCCTCAAATGCTGTCTGTGTGCTTCAATTAACCCACCATGCCGCACTTGTCAGGGGAAGAGCTTGCAAATATGTCTCAAACTCTGCATCGCTTTTGTCTTTGTGTATATACTTTTCTCGTGGTTTACTGGTTTTTGTCTTTATAAATATAATTGTGTAATATGCCAGATTGACAAGGTGAGAGCTTTCAAATATGAATATACCTTGTTAAACTGCTACAATGCACCCAAATTGACCCTACATTGTTGTTTTAATCTAGTATGTATAAACGCCAGACGATTAACCAAACAATCTGCTAATACTTCTTGTTATCCCACTAAGTTGCAATATATGCAAAAAATTATGCCCCAGATAATTTTATTCGATAACACTAGACAATTTTACTTGTAGAGCCAGTTGTTCAAATCAGGATTAGTGCTAACCCTGGGTTAAAAGTCAATTACCCAAGTGCTATTTTGGGTTGTGTATTTCTGTACGCCTGTGTCTAATGCCAGATGATTTTACTTGTCAAAAGAAAAGTGCGGATGTTAATGGGTTAGGTATAGCCTGCAAACAGGCTCTCTTTGAACTCTCTTTCAATTCAAAGAGCCTGTTCGCAGGCTAGGTTAGGTATGTTAATTGTGGCAAGATTCAGCTGAAGGGTTTTTATAGTTGGTCGTTGCAATATATGCCGAAATGCACCATACTTTTTTCTTTTATTTTGTCTAATGCCGGAAGATTTTACTCAATAACACTTACCTAGACAATTTTACTTTTGCAGCCAGTTGTTCAAAGCAGGATTAGCACTAACCTTTGGTTAAAATTCAATTACCAACTATTTTGCAGTGGCAAACACTAGGGAGGTGAAGGGCACCCCCCCTCCCAATATTTTCTCTAAGCCTTTGAATAATAGCTGATGTTCTATTGTGAAGAGTTGCCGACATTTTGGAACCAACGTGTCTACACTGACCAATTTCTAAAAATATGTTATTTTATGTTATTTAATGTTACAATGTTACCACCCCCTAAAGTGGCAAGCAATATGGCGAATTCATGATTGAATTCCAAGCTTTCACCAAAATGCCAATATCTCAGAAACAATTGCATAAAAAAGTCTGATCTTTTCAACCAAACATGAATGATATATGATTGACCAAATTTAGTTTAGATGACCTTGCATACCTATATCACAGAATAGGAAGTTATACCAGAAGCGTAACTCTAGTCGTTTCCCTTATTGTTTGACGTCCACGAAAATTTTAACTCGCTCACGTCAGGCCACGCCATCCTGGCTAGTACAGCCGGAAGTTTTTATCAGGATTTGGTAGGTACAAAGTGCCGGTTGTACTAGCCAGGATGGCGTGATTGATGACGAATCGCTTGTAAAAACGCGGACAAATATTTGCTCGAGTTACGCTTCTGGTATAACTTCCTATTCTGTGCCTATATATATCATTAGTTTTTTCAGTCAGTATTTTTATTTATAAAGCAGTGACACTTTGTTTTCCATGTCACTCATCACCTAAAGGGGCTATATCTCCATAAATTTATATAAAAACCAAAAAAAAAATCATTTACTAAATTAATACATATCTATATTACAACCGATTTTCATCTTTTGGGATAT